TAATTTACCCTATAATTGAAAACACAATATCTCAGGAGCATAAGGTTGCTACAGAGTCACTGATTACCATTTCTATTATCTGAATCTTATGCAATGTTAATTTGCATAATAGAAATTCAGGAATTATTGCAATATTTTTATTAATGGGAAAAAATTCAAAAGTATCAGGTTCGCAATACGGTAATAAAAACTTGTATTCATAATTTCAGTATTGATTTTCCCTCATAAAATTTTGCAATGGCAGTTATTAGATTTCGCAGTTTTTCCAGTGGTCAAGCATTAGCAATAATAAATACACACTTTCACTTCTGAATTTGCAGCAATATTTTGTTAGTAATATTGAAGATATTCATATCCTTACAAAAATGATAATCAAATTAGAGTGCACTGGACTTTAAGCAAACAACAATCAATCAATCAACCTATTAGAGTGTTGCATTTCTTTGTATGTTCAGTATATTTGGTAGGATTTCTACATGATCTCATTTGATACCCATTGGGCTTGATAATATTTATGAATTTTGCCTCATTTCAGATACAGGCTATATATTACATTTCCATAATGCATAGTAGTCATGCACTAAAATTCAATGCATTTATCACATTTTGCAGCATCCCAAAGATTACACAAAGCTTAAACATACAGAACGAATGCCTAATCCTCCAGGGCAAGAACTCAGATCAATAATTGGTGATCCCACTGACTCGAGAACAGAGGTTAGTCTGTCATATATATTTGTGGAGACCTTGTTGATAAGAAGATCCCTGAGCCCATCAGCTGGTCTCTATTTTTAAGACAAGATAAGACCAAATTGGTCCCTATATAATCTTGGAATCTTCTGATTTGTGAGTCACAGTATATTTACCTAGAATGACCTTGAAATAAACTTTTATCAATATTGACAATTCAATAAATGGCAACATCTGGCTAAATATGTTTGTAATACATAATAAAAAGGTCCAGTGGAGGGCATTCCTTAAACGATAGAATGTTAAAAAAAATGGCAAAGTTTCAAAGAAAGTTAATAAGTATTCAAAAGATGATAAATTATTTTCTGAGAGAACATTTAAGATTAAGAAGGTCATTATCTACTTCTTATGAACAAATTTTAAGCAATCCTGTTGGTTACCTTAATTTTCTGTAGGAAATGTCCTTGTCTGGCTTTTTAACTTACCCAGTATTTGATTTCAACAAGATCCTTGTTCACATTTCCCCGATGGTGCCTCTATTACATGGATAATATTTCGAATAGGATTTTACTAAGCCTAATGTAAGTTTTGTTTTGCAGACAGTTGCTTTTTATTTGTTTTCTAAACTTTTTTAACTTAAATGTTTGCCTCAATTTGCATATTTGTTTTTTACAATGCATTTATAATGGATAACAATAAACTATGAATGGTTGCCTATAATTGCTTATATACATTTACTTCATTTGAACTTTAGTGGACAGTTGTCTCATTGGCAATCATTTTTATATTATTTTTTAAGTCACCCTGTATAAAAGGCAATTCTCTCCCTCTTTCATGTTATGTGCTTCACACTTAGGTGTTATTTATGCAAGGAAGCATATTTTTTCAATACCAAAAAAACTCCAGCACTTGAAAGGCTTTCAAGTAAAACTCTGCTAGTTTATTCAACAAAATTACCCTGCAGTTTGCACATTATTAGGTAATTCAAAGTATTTTTAGATATTAATTTAAACAAAATAACACGAGAAAAGAGTAGAGAGTTGATTTAAATCTTTATTTCTAACAATAATTGAACAAACATTGCTGAATTTCAAAAGAAAGTTAAAGTTGTTAAGTAAGCCTGAACAAAGTAGAAGACCTCACAGTTGTGTCAATTTATTTAAATGGAACTAGCATTATGCAACTTGAAATGGAGATTGGTAGACATTTATTTTCATATTACAAAGAGTGGTCTGGTCACCTCGTTCCAATTTTAAATTGCATAAACTTTGTATGAATTAAGCCTAAAGAGGGTTGTTATGACACCACATTGTAATGGTGGAATAACAAATTGTTTGGATATATATTTAATAAGGGATATGTGCATATGTCAATGCAACTTACCTGTCATTTCATTGCGAACTAATTTTTATACCTCCGCTGTAGCTGAGGGGGCATTAAGTTTTACCCTTGTCCCTCTGTACGTTTGTCCGTCAGTCCCTCTGTATACCCCGAAATTGGTTTTCGTACTTTAACGTTAGTTTGCCTTAACCAAATGTTATGAAACTTATACAAAATGCTTATTACCACAGATCAATTTAAATTACGGTGGCTCCACTTTTACCTTTCTAAAGTAATGCCCCTTTACAAATGGTAAAATTGCTGAATTTTTTGTTTCCATTCTCTAACTTAAGTTTGCCTCAACCAGATGTTATTAAACTTATACACAATGCTTAATACCACTAAACTCAGATCAAGTACAAATTTGGGTAGCGTCACTTTTACGGTTCTTGAGCTATGTCCCTTTATAATGTTAAATGCAAGAGGGGGCATCATCTGTGTCCCATGGACACATTCCTCGTTTATGTTAAAAGTTTTGGTCTTCTGTGGTTTGCGTTATTCAATTTTCAATCTTTCTTTGTAATGTTTTATTGACTAGTATCTCTTTACTTATTAGTCCCCCCTCCCCCCCCCCCCCCCCCCCCTCCTCCATGTTGTTGTCTGTGTTTCTATGACAGATGATTTATACCTAGTAAAAGTAGGTCACCTATACTGTAGGTGTTACACTCTTCTGCCTTATTATTGCCGCCCTTCAAGGATGCGGGAGCCCTATAGTTTTCACTGTCTGTCTGTCGGTCTGTCCATCAACAATTTTGTAAGTGCAAAAACTTCAAGAGTATAGGTTGGAGGCCAATGTAATTTTGCACTGTTGTTGTGCATAATATGTAGATGTGCATAATATATTTTGGTGAAATTTGGCTCAATAATTTTGAAAAAAGACCCTATGTTTTTTTTTAAAAAGTCACAAATTTTGAGAAATGTCTTTCGTAAACACAAAAACTCCTAAAGTATATAGGTAGGAGGCCAATGAAATTTTAAACAGTTGTTGTCTATGGTATGTAGATGTGCATAATTTTTTAGTGAAATTTTGCTCATTAATTTAAAACAAAAACAAATTTGGAGAAATGTCTTTTGTAAACGCAAAAGCTTCAAAAGTTATAAGTAGGAGGTCAATGAAATTTTGTACAACTGTTGTGCTTAACATGTAGATGTGCACAGTATATTTTGGTGAAATTTGACTCAATAATTGAGGAAAAAACTTTGTTCTTGTCTCACCTGTTTGTCGCAGAATGCGAGACATGGGGATTACAAAACGGTGGTGGCTTTTTGTACACTATTTGTATAAAGCTTTACATTTCAAAAGGTAGAAGACCTGAATGCTTCATGGTTCTTCTGACCGTGACCTCATTTTAATAGAACAATTGATAGTGTTAAGTTTATGTGATACTTGAAGTAAAATCTTCATATTACAGACTTTCAACATGAATTCAATGATAAGTAAGGCAGGCAAGACAATTCAGTGAGTGCACCCTTGTTTTTTTTATATATATATAAACAGTAATAAAATGAGATTATTACAAAGCATTTAACATCAGAAATAGGAATGAATTTACAATAGGGGGGGGGGGGGGGGGGGGGGGTCGGACCTTTATCGGGACTCCGGGATTGGGTGTTTTTAAGCTTGGGATTTCGGGATTGATCCTTTTGGGAACCGGGAATTCTTTTTTCGAATTTCGGGATGTCGGGATTTAAATTTCTTTAAATTCGGGACCTCAGGATTTCATGTTTTTAAGCCTCAGATTTTGGGATCAGGACCCCTCCAACCCCCCCTCACAATAGATTAAGCCTAGAGTACACAAAGCTTTATTTATGATATTTTATAAATTTGTAAAGTTAAATAAGCTTTTGCTTTCTCTTTTGATGCATCAATGATTTATTCTTAAAAGATTGGGTCTGGTGTAAATATATTTTGGTATGTTAATTTTAAAAAAAAATGGATATTCTAAGATAAAGTGAAAGTCGTCTCCAATTTCATTCACAATTTGTCTAAACAAACCAGATTATGATGCTTTAAAGCTTGACAAATGGTATAGATATTTGTCTATTGTTAAAGATACTTAGTATGTTGGAAGCTAAAAGTAATTTTGTTGTGTTGTTAGTTAACTGTCTCATAACCATATACTACTTATCTCTTTTTATTGATATAATTGATAGAGTAATCAAATTGTCTGTAGAAGGCTCTTTTTGAAGCACTCACTTGCTGTAAATGAAAAAATAAAATAAGAAATAAGACGTTTGAAAAGATATAAATAGGTATAAATTCTTTTCTTGCAAGAACAATTTTTCATCAAGAGGAGAGTGAGACATTATTGGAAGAAAGTTATTGTTTTAGCTGCCTTAAAAGTTAAAGTTTCAACAAAATTGGGAAGGACTTTATACATTGATAGCCAAGATCTAGGTAGCATAAGATCAATGAGAGGTTGGGGTACGTCCTGTTAATTCATATGAAACGTAGAAAAGATACCATGCACTAAACAACCTGTTCATGGAACTTCACTTGAAGAAAAGGTACACCACTTGAACAGGTTTGAATCAACTTGATGCAAACTTCCTTAAATATTTTATAAACTACTTTGTCACAAAAAGGGTTTGCAAACTGGGAACAAGCTTGTAATCTTTTAACTCAGTTTTCTATAAATAATCAGTAAAAAATTAATAGATTTCAAGAAGTTTTTAATCAGAAACGTGAGGTACATGACAAACAGACCTTCAAAATCATTTAAACCAACAGATTAGGTCTATCTTCACTACCTGTTCAGGTAAAAACTTTTACTTACGTTTTTTTTATGGATACTTTTATTATTTTAATTGAAACTTGGCTTTCATTAGCATTGATAAGAAGTTACATTCACTTGACAGAGTATCGGTGTAAAATGATATATCTGTTATTAACTTTATGTTAAAAGTGAAATTTTAAAAATATGCTTTCTTTAGTGAATTTTGTTATTCGGCTCAAGGGCAACTAATGGACTTTTATTCAGCCTTTGAAATAATATAGGTGAATTCATTCATGTTCTAACGTTATGAAGAGTAGGTTGTTTAGGATTAAAAGTTTATATGGTTGAAAGTGAGTAAAATATAATTAAATTTTATTTTATTTTAACATTGCAGGTAATTGATTTAATATAAATGTAATAATTTCAAATTTAGATTTTTTTTTTAGTTGTTTTAACCCTGGAGACCTTCTCAAGTTTTGAATTAGAACTAAAAACAAGGAATTATTTGAATCTGGAATAATTTTGAATTCTGGAAAATTGATTAGAAATGTATGATGAAAACTAACCCAACTAAATAGGGTTAGCCATGCGTGCATGGCTAAGGTTAATTTTACTTTCACTTTCAATTCAGTATGAACTAACTAACCCACCTTAGCCATGCACGCATGGCTAACCCTATTTAGTTGGGTTAGTTTTCATCATATATTTCTCATCAATTTTCCAGAATTCAAAATTATTCCAGATTCAAATAATTCCTTGTTTAAAAGAAAAAGTCACTACAACATCAATTTTTGTTGCTAAATTTGATCTTGCTTGCATTACATTTTTTTTCTGCATAAGCAGAAGTCTTTAACAAGCATTAACTTACATTACTTTTGGTTTCGTTGACCACTGTTACACTGAGATGATGTTGTGATATGTCATATTAAACATTTTAGTCTTCTATTTAATTAATCTGATTTCACTTAAATTTTAACATTCTGTAATGCTAAATGAAATACTTTTCCAACCTTCAACCAAAAAAAGGTTTGCATATGTTTGTTATATAGACTGTATCATAATTTTATTGTCTAATAGTTAGAAAATGCTTTGATTTGTGCCTCACTGTTTTTTTTTTGTGTTTTTTTTTTGGCAGCTTTTGTTTATTTTTCATTTTAACAAATGATGACATCACAAAAGCCTTACTGTTGTAAGAGAAACCCAAATATTTTCTCAAAAAAGATGTTATGTATTTATAATATCTCCATTTTGAATTCTTCTCCAAGCTTAACATTTTTAAATTACTTTATAAGTTAGCACAACAAAAGAGCTCCTATAGCCTTTAACTTTAAAACGGATATTTAATTTAATAGATAATACAAGCACAAAATTTATTTAGGAAAACTATATTGTATTTCAAATATTAATGTTAAATACTAGAACTTCTTAAAAAAGTGTCCTGTATCATGCACTGTCTATTCCTTCTTATTTCAATTTTTCTTGAAACAATACATATCTGTACATATATGTATTTATAAAGCATGTTCCCCTGATCAAAAAGTACAAAGCGACAGACCTTTAAATGTCGGGTTCATGGCTAAAATTATACATAAAAACTGTTATACAATAACAGATAATACAACATAATACTGTCATTTACCGGGGCTATTTAAAACATTTATTTTATTTGTACAGTCGGATATATAATTATATATACATATGTTGTGATTTTATCGGTACTTGTCCTCTTTTGGTCTAAAATGTTTATACAAGTTATGTCAAAATTAGGAAAACAGAAAATTATAAGGGGGATCAAGACAATGTTTTGAAGGATGAAGGATGTTGTGTTGGAAGTATAACATAAAAGGGGGGATTTCCATTTAGATATAAATGCATTATTGCATTTTTATTGGATTTTTATAAGAAAACCACATGAAAGGATACTCCTGTCTCTCTTTCTCTCTTTACCTATCTGAACCAGACAATTTGTTGTGTATTTTAGATATATACATAGTTTTTAACGAGCCTGTGACTTTTGTCGCAGAAAGCTCGACATAGGGATAGTGATCCGGCGGCGGCTACGGCGGCGGCGGCGTTATCTAACTTCTTAAAAGCTTAATATTTTAGAAGGTAGAAGATCTGGATGCTTCATACTTTGTATATGGATGCCTCATGTTACGAAGTTTCCATCAGTCACATGTCCAATGTCCTTGACCTCATTTTCATGGTTCAGTGACTACTTGAAAAAAAAGTTAAGATTTTTTGTAATGTTAAATTCTCTCTTATTATAAGTAATAGGATTAACTATATTTGGTATGTGCTTACCTTGCAAGGTCCTCATGCCCATCAGACAGTTTTCACTTGACCTCGACCTCATTTCATGGATCAGTGAACAAGGTTAAGTTTTGGTGGTCAAGTCCATATCTCAGATACTATAAGCAATAGGTCTAGTATATTCGGTGTATGGAAGGACTTTAAGGTGTACATGTCCAACTGGCAGGTGTCATCTGACCTTGACCTCATTTTCATGGTTCAGTGGTTATAGTTAAGTTTTTGTGTTTTGGTCTGTTTTTCTTATACTGTATGCAATAGGTCTACTATATTTGGTGTATGGAATGATTGTAAGGTGTACATGTCCAACTGGCACGTGTCATCTGACCTTGACCTCATATTCATGGTTCAGTGGTTATAGTTAAGTTTTTGTGTTTTGGTCTGTTTTTCTTATACTGTATGCAATAGGTCTACTATATTTGGTGTATGGAATGATTGTAAGGTGTACATGTCTAGCTGGCAGGTGTCATCTGACCTTGACCTCATTTTCATGGTTCAGTGGTCAAAGTTAAGTTTTTGAGTTTTGGTCTGTTTTTCTAATACTATATATGCAATAGTTCAACTATATTTGGTGTATGGAAATATTTTATGATCTATATGTCAGTCACGCAGGTTTTATTTGACCTTGACCTCATTTTCAAGGTTCATTGCTCAGTGTTAAGTTTTTGTGTTTTGGTCTGTTTTTCTTAAACTATAAGCAATAGGTCAACTATATTTGTTGTATGGAAGATTTGTTAGCTGTACATGCCTGCCTTGCATGGTTTATCTGACCTTGACCTCATTTTCATGGTTCATTGGTCAATGTTTAGTTTACTTGGTTAATGTTAAGTTTATGTGGCAGTTGTAATAAAGCTTTCTATTTAGGACTATCAACATAATATCAATGATTAGTAAAGAAGGCGAGACATTTCAGCGTGTGCACTCTTGTTTAATTTTCAATTATTATTTTATTTTTTTTTGTGGGTTGGGGGGTAGAAAATGATGTAGTTCTTAGAAAATTTGTTAATATTGTAATATATATAAGGGTACAACTGTTCATATACCATTGGTATGTATGTGCAGTATAGGAAGTCCTGCTTTTTTAACTTTTTTTATGAAGAAGTATGAATATTAGACTATTGATATTTGTCATGCTGTTTCAAAAGTAACCCTGTATTTTTTTTTTGCCATTGTTTTGCTTTCCTTTAAGTTGTGTTTTTGAAGAGTATTTATAAGTAACAATAAATCAATGTTTGGTACGCTGTTGCATATGTCATTTTAATCAAGAAAGTATTAACAGTTTTATTTTACTTCTTTATTTCCTTATCGTGCTTATTTTTTTATATTTTTTTTTAATTTAAAAGAATTACCATGAAGATTATTACTTTTAACTTTTTGAAGAATATTTATGATGGAAGGTCCTGCATACAATCTTCATTTTGTTCCATTCAGGTGAAATGATGGCCTCCAGAAGCATTTCTGATTTTGACTTGTAAATTTTCAAATTTCTTCTACTATCAAACTTTGTACGAATAGTTAGTGGGAGAACCTTTACAATAAATCATGTTGATAATGTGATATAGGTAGTTGGTACCTAATTTGTGTAATCAATTCCTCCGACAGTTTTCAACCCAGATCCCTGAACTTTCAAAGAAAGATTGCACACATGTTGAGGTTGTGCACTTGCTATTGAGGAATTTTTATACGACCGCAAAAGAAATATTTTTTTGCGGTCGTATATTGGTATGACGTTGGCGTCGTCGTCGTCGTCTGAAGACACATTGGTTTTCACACTCTAACTTTAGTTTAAGTGAATGGATCTCTATGAAATTTTACCATAAGGTTAAATACCACAAAAGGAAGGTGGGGATTGATTTTGGGGGTTATGGTACCAACAGTTAAGGAATTAGGGGCCAAAAAGGGGCCAAAAATAAGCATTTTTGTAACTTCCAGACATAACTTGTGTGTTAGTGTACGGATCTCTCTGACATTGTACCACAAGGTTCCATATCACAAAGGGAATGCTGGGATTGATTTTGGGGGTAATTGCTTCCAAATTTTAAGAATTAGGGGCCAAAAAGGGGCAAAAAACAAGCATTTTTTAGTTTCATGACAATAACTTGTGTGTAAGGGTATGGATCTCTCTGACATTGTACCACAAGGTTCCATATCACAAAGGGAATGCTAGGATTGATTTTGGGGGTAATTGCCACCAAATTTTAGGAATTAGGGGCAAAAAAGGGGCAAAAAACAAGCATTTTTTAGTTTCATGACAATAACTTGTGTTCAAGTGTATGGATCTTTATGAAATTGTACTACAAGGTTCCATATCACAAAGGGAAAGCTGGAATTGAGTTTGGGGGTAATTGCCCTAAACGTTTAGGAATTTGGGGCCAAAAAGCGGCCAAAAAACAAGCATTTTTCTAGTTTCCAGACAATAACTTGTGTTCAAGTGTATGGATCTCTCTGAAATTGTTCTGCAAGGTACCATACCTCAAAGGGAAGGCTGGGATTAAGTTTGGGGGTGATGAATCATAAGGGGGTTCAAAAAATTTTGGGGGGGGGGGATTTTTTTTTCCTTTTTTTTCTTTAAAATTTTCCATTTTAAATTGGTTATTTCTGATTTATATATTATAAAAGCAAATAATAATGATATGGTTTGAATAGGAAAATTAAAAATTTTAAGTTCTTAGACCACATTCATTCTGTGTCAGAAACCTATGCTGTGTCAAATATTTAATTACAATCAAAATTCAGTGCTGTATCAAGCTTGAATGTTGTGTCCATACTTGCCCCTACTGTTCAGGGTTCGTCCTCTGCGGTCGTATCAAGCTGCGCCCCAGCGGAGCATTTTATTTGAAGATATTTTCCCTCCATTTTTCTGAACTTGGGAACTTTATCATTTTTCAGCAAAATGTATGAAAGACTAAACAAATTTTATGCAACCTACTCCTTTTATGTTTTCAATCCAGATCCATGAAACTTTACAGAATGATTTTAAATCCATAGTAGCAGTGACTCAGTATGTCGGTCATAGCAGGGTTAAGATCATGTTCCTGTCCTGAATATGCATTTAATTTGCCACTGGACATTGAGCAGCCATCCATCAATCCATCAATTCATCCATCAAATTGAATATCTGCTGAACTGCAGACCTCTGCTTTTTTAAAGGTTGTCCTTTATTTTGTAGACATCCAAAGTTCAGAACCTTTCACCTCCAAATATTATTTTGAACCCCTGTTAAATCGGTTATTTGGTTCATATTGTAAAAGCACATCTGTGAGAACTGAACATGATGTTAACAGTTAAGTAACTACACTTGTACTTATGTTAGTTTGTTTAGATAAGATTTCTATTATATTTGTACATTAAAGACTTTTCATCTGATTATTTAGAGATGATGGTATCATCTACTTTAAGATATAAATTGAAAAGATGTGCAGTAGATATACATGAGACAAGGTCTTGCTCAAACATAATTAACATTTACAGGTTATATTACTTTAAGATTATAGATGTATGTTTTGAAAGGTTGGGAACAATTTGCATATAAGGTGAAAATATACCTTTTTTATAGTTGTTTTTGTGTGTTTTGTCACAATTTTATTCATTGTTATTTTTATGTAATTATTTATTGCTGTAAACCAACTTAATTTTGTTGACACATTTTTTTCCTTCTTGATGTGTTTGCATTGAGTTATTTTGGCATTTTATTTCTTTTATGTATTGATATAAAAGAAGATCCAAGTTTGACATATTATCAAGGATTTATATTTTCACATCATTTTAATTAGAACTATTTTTCTTCCAGTGAAAATAGTGTAAACAAATTGCCAACAAAAATTAGCTGGTTTACAGTATCAAAGCATTCATGTGCATTGAAAAAAGTATATTGAGTAGACGTTGGTGATAATTCTTGACTAGGAATTTACAGAAATGGCCATATTTAAAAACCATTGCTTTGTAAATGCTCACTGTTATCCCTGGAATTACGGAGAGGCTTCACCAAGTATTAATATAATACGTACACATACTCAATCTGTTTATCCTGTAACAAATTCCAAAAAAAACATTTTCAGAGGTTATCATTGAACATCAAAAGATTCCACATAAGTTGACTCTAGTAAGTGTCTTGAATTTGCCCTGTTTCTTTCATGTAAGATGACTTTAGCGGATGTTTTGTTTTGGCTGTGACCCACTCAGGTGACTATTGATGGCATCTTGATTTTTTCCTTAAATTTTGAGTTGTTTAGCAATGTTAGCATGTGTAAAGATGAAGGAAGAGGAACCATTACTTTTATTGGTTACACTCGTAAGTGAGGTAGTACAAAGTTGTCTATTTATTCAAACATGCTCACACTATTGTCTCTGATTAGCTGTTACCTGTGTTTTAAAAAATGCAGCCTTTTATTTCAGTGGTTGCATAGTCCAGAAATTTTTTCACTCATTTTTTTTTTAAAGTGTTTTGAAATTCAGTTTAATTTTACCATGTCATGATAGTTTTCTGAATAATCTAGATATTTATAAACATTGGTAATTGATTGATAGATAAAAACCTAGAAACTATGCAACTTTGTCAAAGCACCTAAATAAACCAGTTGGTAACAGTTAACCACTGTTTTAATTTTGAACAACCAGGTCTAGATTGCAGTTTAATTAAAAAAAATGTACTTTTTATTACAAGAATATTTTTTTTCGTAAAATGGTTGTGGTTTAAGTACAAATTTTAAGATTTTTAGGCCACTGGCCTTCAACAATTTTGTAAAAAAAAAAAACCATTTTCAAATATTTTGGTCACTATTCTTCTTAGTAAAAGATCATTTCTTATTGTATTGCATTCAATCTAATCTATCTGCTGTTTTAACATTCAGTTTGTGTGTGTAGGAAGTTACTGCACCCTAGACAAATACATAACATAAAATACCAACTTTGCCGCGTACAATGCACATTTCTTTGTTTAACTTCTCGGGTATGCTCAAGTCAAGTTTCATGAAACGACAAAAAAGATGAATTAATTCAAAACAAATATGTCAAATATAACCTTTGAATGTTTATATATTATACAATATTTGAGAAAACATTTCAATTTGAATATATCTTACAAAAATAAGGGGATGTGGTATGATTGTCATAGGAACAACTATCCGTCAGGAGACCGAGGATGTAAGAAACTTTCTTCAGGTGTATTATTGTTGCCAGTAGTGAACATGCAGCAAATATAAATAGTATTTAGAAAATTTAGAAACTATTTTAAAAAACTGAATCACTTTTCTATGTAATTCTAGTATTTTTAGAAATTTGTCTTCTATAAACTTATGTTTGATATTAATCTTCAAACCCATATTTCATTGACTATGATGTAGCTTAACTGATAAAAAAAACCAACAAATAACAGGGAAAGGCTGTTTTTGGTAAATTTACATATCCCTAGTTTAAAATCTGATGATGTGCTGGTTATAAATATAATGATAGTTATACAGATGTATGAAATGAATACTAAAATATGTTTATGCAGTTTATAGATCCAGATAAAATTCTTTGTACCTAATTATATCATTAAAATATAATATTATATGTCTGTTTTTATAAATACTAAAAATAATACAGATATTTTACTATCTATTTCAGGGTTGACAGAATGTAATACCACCATCATGTAGTCAGTGGTAAGATATTTTTACCCAACAAAGTTAATAGCACTCTAACATTTTTAACCCCACTACATTCTTTATGTGCCTGTCCCAACTCAGGAGCCTTTAATTCAGTGGTTGTTGTTAGATGCTGTATATCTTATTCGTTTTTCTTTTATAGTTTTGTACTTAAATCAGACAGTCAGTTTTACATTTGTCATTTCAGGGCCTTTTATAGCTTGCTATGCGGTATGGGTTTTGCTCATTGTTGAAGGCGGTATGGTGACCTATAATTGCTTTCTTCTAGGTCATTTGGTATCTGGTGGAGAGTTGTCTCATTGGCAATCATACCACATCTTATTTATAAACCTGCTAATACAGCTATACATGACATTAATGCACCAACACGCAAATAAGGTGCACTTGATTCCTAGTAAATGTACTAAGCTACTGAAGGTCAAGCCTCCACTCTATGAGTGGGGCTATATTGTCTTCACCCTGTCTGTCCATTCATCTGTTTGTCAGACAAATATTTCTGTTGCACTTTTCACAGGTACTACTAAACAAAATGACTTCATTTTTGGTCAGCAGCTCAGTGGCGGATCCAGGTGGGGGAGGGGGGTTCCACGGGTTGGAACCCCCCCCCTTTTTTTTTGGACAATCAATGCATTTGAATGGGGACATATGGTTGGAACCCCCCTTTATCCTGGGTTGGGAACCCCCCCTTTTAAAAATGGCTGGATCCGCCCCTGTCCTGCAGCTTGACAGTGATGAGTTGTAACATGTGAGCACTTTTTGATCTGTCAGACACCTACTTACTGTTTGCCAATCCTTTGAATTTTCCATGTTATATGAAATTGAAATTTATAGTCACACTTCTCCAGTTCTATGAACAAAAAGATTTCATATTTGGTCAGCAGCTTTACAGTGATGACTTATGTTATGTGGGAGCACTTTTGAGATTTGTCAGACACCCACTTCCAGGGTTTAAGCTAGTATTCTGGGGCTTCAGTCACTTTTGCATTTTATGAAACTGACCTTTTTTTTTGGTAACAGCATAAGTGTAACAGCAGGGCCACTTCCTGTTTGCCAATATTCTTTGAATGAGAGTGTGTGTGTGTATGTGGGAGGGGGGGAAACATGGTAGCATGTCACATTCTTATTATGGTTGACATCTATTGAAGTGAGCTCTGCCAACATTAGGTGACAAAGGCAATTTTAGCTAATGACACAGCTTTGCATCCTAATTTCTCCCTAAATGGTCTGTAGTTATTTGTTGACATTTGTATCTTATATGAAATGAATGAGACAGGCTAAACATATTTGGCAGGAATACCCAGTAATATAAAAAAAATCCTTTTTAATCTTCAATTTATGTTGACAGCATGACAGATGTTATTATAATCGGTAATGCTTGATTCTGCTTAAACTGTAATGTGAAATAAAAAGATTGATGACTCGGAGAGTTTTAGAATGATTCTTTATTTGTTATTTATTGGACTTAGCCAGTGCAGTGGCTACAAAGGCAACTTGGATTTTTTATACATCACATATTACCCCGGTATGGATTATTTAAAGTGTGATGACTATGAGATTCTAAGCTGAAAGTTTAGCAGCTCTGGTTTTCATAAATTATGGCACTTATATTCCTGATGTACCTTATGAAAATAGATTTGATGGCATTGGTAATCATAGAACTTCTCACAGAATGAGCTGCTTGAGCTGGAACATGTAGCTCTTGTGAAAGGCTCTTTATGTGTTTTTGGTTATAATTATTACTTTGACCTTTCTGCTTCTAAAAATAGTTTTAAATGCCAAAAGGAAAAGTTCACAAAATAAGCTGATTGTATCATATGTACTTAACCAATTGGGATTTATGTCCTTTAGTCTAAAAATTAAGAAAACATAGATCAAATATAAGATTAGACCAACAAAATGTCATGTTATCAAGCTTAATCCACCATACCTTACACAGTATACATTAAAGTTGTCATCCCACATATCAGAGAAATCTAGACAAAATTTAATTTGTTGACCAGATTTGATAGAAATCGTTGATGAAAAAGTTACAAGTTAATGGTTTCATAGCTACAGTTGAAAACTTTCATAATAATCAAAGTATCTGTCAACAGGTCTAACGTATTGCTTTTCTAGGTACAACTGTATTAGTTTATATCTAGCTCATGTTTTCTAACAAGATTTCGGTTTTTATCTGCTGTGGACATATTTATATTCGTGTGTACCAATTTCAGTGCATTGAGGAATATATTTTCATGGAAACTTGATTTTGTTTGTTTTAACAAATCCTGCATACAATTAAATGTGTTGTTCAGCTTTTTTTGCAAAATCCTCAACAATAAGTATTCTACTAATAATAATAACTTTACATTAATTTAATATTGTAATTAAGATATTATTCAAATTTTTATTTTTTGTATAAATCTTTTAATAAAATACCAGCAGTACAAATATTTATAAAGCTTATTACACAGTTCTTTTAAAGACCAAACAGCCTATTGTTTATGCGCATTAGCTAACGCAACTTGATTGTGACATGAAAGCTTTATGACGTTGTGTTCAGCTCGGTAAAATACGGCAGATGAGAACGTCACATTTCGCGTATTTCACGGATTCCAATATGATGTACGCGTTAAAATAGTTTTGTCAAGAAAAATGATATATAGCAGCCACAAAATTTTAGCGTCAACATACGTTTTGTCAACAAACAAAAAAATAGCAGCCACAAAAAATTAGTAAAATTCAAACAAAAAAGAATACAAAATTTTAACGCTTAGAATTTTGAACTTTTGTGATTTGCACAATTAAACTACCAACAAAAATAGTTCTACTAGTTTCGATCTTCTGACACCAATTTTGACTTAAAGCGATTCCCGTAAAATGTTGTTCGAGCTTGTAAAGAAGTTCAATTTTATTGATTATGATACTGCATGAAATTAAACTAAAAAAAAATTGATTTCTAAAATAAGTTGATCAAACAATTTAATACGAGACAAAATCAATTATTTTTCATTATATTAATTCTCCATAAAAAAGAAAAACAGCTTTTTTTGTATTTATATATTTTGTTCTTTATTTTATTGTTTTCATATTCGTACATGTTGTATTTACGTTTGTCTGATTTTTCCTCCTTAATTCATATTCAGACGTCGTTGACTTTGTGAATGTCTTAAATCTGTTATTCATAGTTTTGTTAATTTCATTGTTGTTGTTTTTTTTTTTTTTTTGGGGGGGGGGGGGGATAGATTTTTAATAATTAGAAATTACGAATCTACAAATTAGATGGAAATGTTTTTAAATGCCCGACTGAGTTGGAAAGTTGTATCATCGGGTAAACAATAGTCCGGCCGTGCTTCTGTCCGTCCGTCAACACCCTAATGTCTAAAATAATAATACGAAGATGTGGTATAATTGTAAATGAGACAACTATCCACCAGTGACAAAATGACGTAGAATTTTATCGTAGGGCCTTCATCAAGTAGCAAAACGAATACTAATAAAACTAATAATTTAGAAGGTAGTCAGTGTCATATTTCATTTCATTTTTTTTTTAATTTCCAATAATTCTGGCAAAGAGAGAGAGGGGAAAAACAAACTTTCTTTTTTCAAAGCGGAGCAGAAGGAGATTTCGATCAATATTACATTTCACGGGCGGTGTTTCTGAAATCTTATTTCAAAGCTGAGATTCTCGTTTAGTGGGGCAATAGAATGAGATCTGACAAATACTGGTGCTTAAATGTGACCTCTTGTATTATAGATAATAAAGAAGGTGCATATTGTTGCTATTATTGTAAATTCTAATGTGTGTTTCAAACGTCCAATTTGCAATATTTGCCAAAATTACGGGAAACTTGTACTATGACGTCAGGTTCAGTGTTCTATAGAAAGACAACTCTTTTCTTGAAAACAAATGAAAAAAAAAACATGAAAATTACTCATTACTTTTTTGAAAGGTCGGTGACATATAGTTTTTTGGGCTTTATTTGAAAGATAACACAACGTTCTTTCTTTCTTGAAATTTTTAAGAAGAAATCACTGGTAGAATTTTTTTAATACTGGAAACTTTTTTCATTCTTATGTGTTAATATTGGCGGGAACGAAATAAATCATACTTTTTAAAATCAAAACACCAAGAATCTTTAACTCTACAATCTTAAATTAATAGATATAAATATACTGTTTAATGTGAAAAAAAGAATTATGCTCCTAGGTTCGGTATTGTTGGATTATTTGAAATTTTAGATAACAACCGAATAATGTCCATATTTCGGAAACACACAAAACTGAGGTTGCTATAGTGACGAAACGAAGTCGGTGACCCCCAATTTTTTTCATCTTATTTTATTCCTAAAGTCATGAAATACCTTCACTCAAAATTTTAAGAAAAAATCACTGGTAAAAATGAATAGGCTGTTTGGTCTTTAACTTTGTTTCCTTTATGAGAACCTGTTTTGTACTTTGTTTTTATTTGAGCCTTTAGGTTTATAGGTGTTTAAGGGATAAGGGATATTCACTCTTATGATAAAACATAGAACACTCTGTATTGGTGAGGTGGAGGAAAAATCTTTAGATTTCTAGACTATGTTCAGGGGTTAAGCCCGGGTTGAAGAAAAGGGAGGATTCAACTCTGATTGTCCCTAATAGTAAAAAAATATGACTTTAAAAAAAAAAGATACTTTTTTCTAATTAAAAGAGGGTGGGGGTGTAGGCCCTCTATGGTCCCACATGAATCTGCCCCTGATGTTTGTCTTTTTGTCTTTTCATTTGCATTGGCTATGGTGTTTTCTTTTTTTTATTCATCTGACCTTATTGTGTGTGCTTGATCCCTTGGTACTTTCTCACTGTTTTGTACTTATGAATATATATATATGCATTGAATAATTTTCAGGAATATGATTTTTTTTTTATCATTTTCAGTGAATTTGATGAAGAGAATTAAGGAATACACCATGTTTTTAAGGCTTTTTCTAAACAACACTAAGTGAGCTATGAATGAAGCCAAATATGGAATAGATTTCAATAAAACACCAAAATCCTAATAACAGTTTTAGATTGAATATGTGGAAGTCAGGTCTTTTTGTGTAATTTTAGTGAAATAAATACATTTTGTAATGTGAACTAATTGTTACTGCTTACATTATCTAACATTTACCTAAGTCTAATTTATGTAAAATTGAGCATCACCCAGTACACCAAGGATAGATTATTAAATATGAACTTAAAAGCATTAATAAATTTCTGCTCCAAGTCTTACTTAAAATTAATTTTTTGAAGTATATAATTTGATAAATTTATACAATACATCAATAATGAGTGTATATGAATCAGCCGGTAGCTATTGAACCACGGTTGCCGTCACAGATGTTCTCTATTTTAATAACCCTGGTTGAGTCAGGATATTTCTTCGTGATATTTTAAAGAATTTATTTAAAATTTTCTTTAATTTGAGATGCATCATTTATGTACTTTGTGTGAAAAAAACATTGATGACTTAACTGAAGTTTAATTTCCCCTGAAGAAAGAACGAGCTTGAAGGACTCATATGTTTTTGCTTACTTGACAAAATGGAAAAACAGCTGATGTGATTTATAATCGGTCAGTTATATAATACCAGTGTTGAATTTACTCATTTGGAATAATCCAATAGTGGACAGAGAAACAATTGTTTTTGCAAGAGTTTAAATTGTTTTGATACTAATTACAACTAACTTTATGCAGATAAACTTTTTAAGTTTGAATTGGATTGCCTTTACAGTCTGAAGTATTGATCAAATTAAGCTGTTACATAAATTTAACTTATTGCATAATTAATTTATTTTGCCTTTAATTGGATGTGTGTTTGTATGTATATTTTAATTCGGAGGATTTTGGAGATTTAAGTTTTAATGCAAGTTATTTCTTATCGTCAACAGATGTGAAGGACAGTCATTATTGTGAACTATATAGGATGACCTCATCTCCATCAACTTTTTTCATTCCCATCAAATCTCTATACAGTCATCATAAGGATTAGCACAGATGAGTACAGAATGTCTGGTTGGAATAGCCTTTCGGGATACCTCCATTTTCGACCTGGAGGAGGTGGTAAGTTGACATTATGACCTTGACATTGAAAAACATGTAAAGTATCAATTAGTTGAAAATTAAGGGCCACATTCATTGATTTATGTATTATTATTTCCAAGGTAGATTATATTCTGAGGAACATAGTTTAACTACTTTTTACCTCTACGTTGATCAGTGGCAGCATGTTGATTCTAAATTCTAAAAACATTTGCTTTAACTCGTAACATATTGTCAAAGTTCCTTTTGCAGAAGAAAAAGCATAAAATTACTTCATGATTAGAACCAATATTTAGTCAATGAAATTGAAGTACTAGTATATTTTCTTCAGTACTGTAAATTCATTTATTATTGTGATGTTTTTATTAATGCAAAAATTGCGACAATATCTGGTTCGCAAAAATAATGCAATCCGTAATTTCAGTAGTGATTTTACTTGATAAATTTTGCAATAGAATTAAATAGATTTTGCATTTTTGCCAATTGTCAAGGATTCGCAATAATAAATGCATGCATTAATTTATGAATTTACAGTACTTTCTAACTGGATAAAGTAATTTTATTGACAAATAGATAAAATACTAGTGCAGAAAAGTTTTTTTAGTTTTGTTGTAACTATTACCCAATAAACATGTCACAATTGACATATATGACCTAACTAGCAATGATACGTGTAGTTCTTAGGTATGGGTTTTGCCAGGATTATATATATACTGTTCCCAGGTTTTGCTCATATTAAAATGTTGATTTAGTAAATACTTAGTTTTTGGTAAAAAAATTCAAGAAACATCTTTTTATGCCCCCGCCGCTAGGCATGAGTTAATTATCAGTGTTGTTGGGTCACAAGTTGAATATTTTTCGATATTTGAATTCTTCAATTAGTTTTTCTTTCTATTACATTGATTGTAAGCTTTTAATGGAAATAAAGTATAAAATACAAGGAACTTTATCTTTTCCTACGCATTGCCAATTCGTTTTGATGTAACATCATCAATAATGCCTTGACAACACCCATTATTGTATGATGCAGAGGAGTGAAATTATCAGATTTAATTCACATGTGAAATTGTCAGTTTTTATCTAACTGGGAAATCACGGTTTTTCTTTGCAACCAATGTAATTAATAGGTACAAATGTATTATATGCTATTCCTAATTGATAGTCCATGTAAAATATGGAGTAAAAACTTTGTAAAACATCTGTTGTGTAATCTTTTCAATTGAAATTGATGTATGAGTTTGATATGCTTTCCAAATTGATTCCCCATGTTTTAATTGTGATAAAAACTTAATTTTTGTTAAAAAATGACAAATATTGAAAAACACCTTTTTTGTTAGGATTTTAATGAAAATCTATATGTAGGAATAATTTTCTATTCCAAATTGTTTCCCTGTTTCAAAAATTATTGGTTACCTGTTATTTATGAAATGGCTGCCAATAGACACTGTGTTTGGATTTTAACAAAAGCAAGAAGAACCTTAATTGATTCCTGGTCTTCCTAGAAAATTGTTACCTCATGAACTTAAATTGATTTGCTTGCATGAGTACTGTAAATTTAGAAATTATTTGAGGTTTTTATCATTGGGGGATAATGTGACTGGGTGAGTATTGCAATGATACGAACTAGCATTCTGATATCGTATACATATTTCTGGAATGATTTTCCTGAAATCGCAATAATTAATCTCGCTTTTTTCTCCATTCTTCGCAGTAATAAATGCATGCAATAATTTCTGAATTTACAGTATGAATTATTTGCATCTGTGTCTCGCATTTAAATGTGCAAGCAGGGCCCTTGCTGCTTTGTCAGTTTTCTAGTTCATTCTGTTCTATTGGTAAACTAGTTAACAATAAATGCTATCATTTGCCTGGCTCAAATTTGGATGGGCATTACCTGTAATGCAACAAAGTGATTTAATAAAAAATCATGTTCTTAGATTAAAACCTCTTGTGCAGTTTCATGCAAACAAATAAATCCAGACTGTATTCAGTTTTAAAATTATATATGCCATCATTTGCTATGTTGCAAAGCCAGTTGGGTAGAACAATTTCTAATTTCTTTGATTTTTATAGTTTGTTATTATGTTATACCACTGTCCCAGGTTAGGGGAGGGTTTGGCGCCAGCAAACATGTTTAACCCTACCACATTCTGTATGTGCCTGTCCCAAGTCAGGAGCCTGTAATTTAGTGGTTGTCATTTGTTGCTGTGCATCATATTTGTTTTTCATTTATTGATTTGTACATAAATCAAGATGTTAGTTTTCTCGTTTGAATTGTTTTACATTCGTCATTTTGGGGCCTTTTATAGCTTACTATGCGTAATGGGTTTTGCTCATTGTTGAAGGCTGTACAGTGACCTATCTTTGTTAGCTTCTACGTCATTTGGTCTCTGGTGGAGATCATACAACATCTTCTTATTTTAGTATTGTAAACATGAAAAAGAAAAATGAGAAAATGCCTTGTTTACTTCCAGGGAAATTAACTTTTTATATGCAATATGTATTTCTTTATTTGAAACAAAGGTAAATTCTGCACATTATTTTGAAAATGCCAGTCGAACACAAAATTATTGGGGGAAAACAATGCAGTTATTATCCCTAGAGTACAACCTAGAGGACCAAATATATAAAAGTTCCCTTCTATAAATGTGAATTTTTTATGCACATATGTTTTAGATTTTTGACTGAAGAATGTAATATTTTCAATTAATTATTTCAGGTCTGAGTATTTTGAAAACAAAGCGTAAAGTTTGGTGTGTCCTTGATGAAGGTCAATGTAAATTAGTATATTACAAGAACGAAGAAGAATTACGACATAACAAAACACCGATAGGCAGTATTAACATTAAAGGGGCAGGAATATCACTGGATTTAGATACACATAACCAGTTTATTATCTTGTAAGTATTGTATTCAAATATTTGATGAAAAGGTGCAAATCATTAACCAGCTAAATGAAACGACCACTCTAGGAGTGGGGCTGTATTGCAATCACCTTGTCCATCCATTCACCCGTCTGTTCATTGACACGCTTTTCGTAGAAACTACTACATAGAATGACTTTATGTTTGGTCATCAGCTTGACAGTAATGAGTTTGATAGTACTGTATGTATAATGTAAGTGTTATGAAATGTGTGAGCACTTTTTATACGTCCGCAAAAATTTTTGCGGATGTATATTGGTATGACGTTGGCATCGTTGTCGTCGTCCGAAGACACATTGGTTTTTCGTACAATAACTTTAGTATAAGTGAATGGATCTCTATGAAATTTTACCATAAGTTTAAATACCACAAAAGGAAGGTTGGGATTGATTTTGGGGGTTATGGTTTTCAGGTATGCATGGATCGTTTGGCTGCAATTTGCTGTAACTTATTTGCTATACTGCTGAACCCAAATGGGTGACAGTATAGAAGACTACAGGGCAGCCATAGGTTCATTTCATATGACAAGAAAAAAGTCTTTTAGATTTCTCGACTGTCGGTCTAGTTCTTATTACGAAATATTTATAACCAACTTACGGTCTACTTGTTTAATCTTCTCACTTTTTCTTCTACAGTCAGTAAATCCAAACATCGATATAGTTTTTCTGTTTTTTGTACTTCACTCCATCCTAATTATTGGGAATATTGAAACAAATCCTGGTCCTAGTGAAATGAAGGAATCGAATACACCCTTAACGGTCAATGAAAAATCCATTTCAATATGCACTTTAAATATCCGTAGTATAAGGAATAAACTAGAGTTCCTAGACAATTTCAGTGATGAATTTGATATTTTAGCTATCACAGAGACACACTTAGATTCAAATATATGCGACAAAGATCTAGAACTTAATTCATTTTCAAATAAAATCATCAGAAAAGATCGTAACAATTTTGGCGGCGGCCTCCTTATTTATGTTAAAGACGATATTGGTATTCTTCGTAGAAATGATCTTGAAAATCAATCAGATGAATCTCTCTGGGTTGAAATCTGTGCTAAAGGTCAAACATTCTTACTCTGACATACCTATCGACCTCCTGAATTGACAGACGGTCATTATTGGACACGCTTAAATCATGCAATAGGATTGGCTTATCAATTCAATGAAAATATCGTAATTACGGGTGACCTGAACAGTGATTTATTCAAGACGCAGAACAACAAACTAATAGAAATTCTAAATATATTTAATTTACGAAATGTTATTAATAAACCAACTCGAATGACAAACCATAGTAGCACACTACTCGATCCAATTATTTTAAGTGACACTTTGTCGTACTATATGTCAGATGTTATACCAACGCCTGCTAATATAAGTGACCATGATGCACCAATCATTTTTCTCGAGTGTCCGACAACTGTTACACGTTCGTATAAAAGAGAAGTGTGGATTTATGAAAAAGTTAATACGGTTAAATTCTCTGAAAAAATGGACGACGTTGACTGGAATGCACTGCTTCCTGATAATAAAGATGTGGATGAACTATCTGGAATCTTTACTGAAACATTCTTGAATATCGCCAGGGAGTGCATTCCAACTAAATTAGTTACTATACGTAGTTCTGATAAACCATGGTTTAATGGTGAGTTAAAAAGAGAAATTCGAAAACAAGACCGTTTTAGAAAAAATGCCCTGAAATATAAAAGAGAATCGGATATTGCGAAGTACAAGAAACAGAGAAACAAAGTTAACAATTTAAAAAAGATCGCTAAGGAAAGATTTGAAACTAATTTAGATAATATTATAATGAGTAATGCTCCAAATTCAAAAAACTACTGGAAAATAATGAAAATGTTAATTAAGTCGAACAAGAGTTCAAATAATATTCCTCCTCTTCAAAACATAATAAACGATGAGGATTTAAATGACATAGTTTATGAGGATAGTGAGAAGTGCGACCTGTTGAACAAATATTTTGGTTTGGTATCCAAACTCGAGGAAGAAAATGTTCCTGTTCCAGAATTTAAAGTAAAAACTAATACTAATATTCAAGATATATACATAAATCAAACTGAAATAATTGATATTATCAAAACTATTGATCCGAATAAGGCATCGGGACCAGATTTGATTAGTCACAGAATGCTGAAAATTTGCCCTAAGAAAGTGTCGGTTCCTTTACAAATAATATTAAATAAATCTCTTCAACAATGTAAGTATCCTTCTAGCTGGAAGATTGCAAATGTTATTGCTATTTTTAAAAAAGGTGATTCGTCATAACCTTCAAACTATAGGCCAATCTCTTTAATAAGCTGTGTAGGTAAAATCATGGAACGAATTGTTTTTAAACATGTATATAATCATCTATATATGAATAAGCTAATTTATGAATATCAGTCTGGATTTTTGCCAAAATACTCAACTGTACATCAGCTACTAGGAATGTATAATTGTATTCTTAACTCACTAGAAAAGAAGGAAATAAATTGTTTTGTCTTTTGCGATTTTTCTAGAGCTTTTGACAAGGTATGGCATAGAGGGCTCTTACATAAAATGAAAGCTTACGGAATACATGGTAATTTACTTAACTGGTTTGAGAGTTATCTTAGTGATAGGAAACAAAAAGTTGTTATTAATAAATCATCATCCTCATTTTGTAGTCTTTCAGCTGGAGTACCTCAAGGATCAGTCCTTGGTCCCTTATTATTTATAATATATATAAATGACATTGCAGAGAAACTCACATCCCTGACCAGACTCTATGCAGATGACACTTCGTTTAATTACTCAGGGCACGACGAAAAACAGATATAAAATGTTATTGGTCGTGACCTTGAGGAGCTGAACGAATGGTCAAGAAGGTGGCTTATGTCTTTTAATCCAGACAAAACAGAAATAATGATTTTTTCAAATAATGACGCTCCAGATCTAAAATTCTGCTTAAATAACAAAGAAATTCCTATTACAAAATGTATCAAACACCTTGGGGTAACGTTTTGCTCTGATGCTCGGTGGAAAAGCCATATAAACAAGGAATTATTTGAATCTGGAATAATTTTGAATTCTGGAAAATTGATGAGAAATATATGATGAAAACTAACCCAACTAAATAGGGTTAGCCATGCGCGCATGGCTAAGGTGGGTTAGTTAGTTCATACTGAAATGATAGTGAAAGTAAAATTAACCTTAGCCATGCACGCATGGCTAACCCTATTTAGTTGGGTTAGTTTTCATCATACATTTCTAATCATTTTTCCAGAATTCAAAATTATTCCAGATTCAAATAATTCCTTGTTTATAGACAATTTGATTATTAGTGTAACGAAACATTTAAATATACTGAGAAAACTCAAGTATCAACTTTGTAGGAAAAACTTAGAAAAACTCTATATAGTATTTATAAGACCAATTTTTGAATATGCAACTGAGGTTTGGGATAATTGTGGGATAGGATATGCTAATAAACTTGAAAGTCTGCAGCTAGAAGCTGCTAGAATAGTTACTGGTTTGCCTATATTTACAAAATATGAAAATCTGTATGAGGAAGTTGGGTGGGAAACTTTAGCTGACAGGAGGAAAAGACGAAAATTACAAATGTTTTATAACATTCAATACAAACATGCTCCGGATTATCTATGTAATCTAGTTCCACCCAGTGTACAGAGCACAACTGTATATCCCTTGCGAAATGGCAATGATATTATTGTTCCCTTTTGTAGATTATCCCTTACTAGAGAATCTTTTATACCATCAACTATTAGACTATGGAATCATACCGATTTGTCCCTTCGAAAATCAGACTCTATCTCAAAATTTAAAATCCAATTAAAAAGGCTAAATACTATAAATAAAGATGTACCGAAGCACTATTCATATGGACCGAGGAAACTAAATATGATTCTAACACAATTCAGATGCTATTCATCTTTCTTGAACTATGACTTGTTTAGAGTCAATATAATTTCTGACCCATCTTGTTTTTGTAAATACAACATTGAGACTGTACACCATTTCCTTTTCGACTGTTCTTTATATACACACCAGAGAGAAATTTTGATGAACAATCTAAGATGGCTCCCTGATGACCTTATATTAAATGTTAAGTTACTAACATCTGGTAATCCAAACCTTTCGTATGAACAAAACGTCAATATATTTAAACATGTATTCGAGTTTATTAAAAGGTCTGAGAGATTTCTTGTTATATGATACTAATAGTGTATTTGCGGTACATTCACGTCATCATCCTCATCATCATTACCAATTTTTCCGTTATTATTGTTTTATCTTTTTTTTTCAATAGATAGACTCTTATAGTATTGTATATTCTGAATTATTGCATGCTCACATTAATATTGTATTGTAATTTATTGTTATTCGGAGCGGACTTCATAAGTATGGTTTACTTGTGTCCAATCCATTTTACTTTGAGTAAATAAAATATGTTTAAACTAAAAACAAATTTTTGCGGATGTATATTGGTATGACGTTGGCATCGTTGTCGTCGTCCGAAGACACATTGGTTTTTCGTACAATAACTTTAGTATAAGTGAATGGATCTCTATGAAATTTTACCATAAGTTTAAATACCACAAAAGGAAGGTTGGGATTGATTTTGGGGGTTATGGTACCAACAGTTAAGGAATTAGGGGCCAAAAAGGGGCCAAAAATAAGCATTTTTGAAACTTCCAGACAATAACTTGTGTGTTAGTGTATGGATCTCTCTGACATTGTACCACAAGGTTCCATATCACAAAGGGAATGCTGGGATTGATTTTGGGGGTAATTGCCTCAAAATTTAAGGAATTAGGGGCCAAAAAGGGGCAAAAAACAAGCATTTTTCTAGTTACAGGACAATAACTTGAGTGTAAGTGTATGGATCTTTATGAAATTGTACTACAAGGTTCCATAACACAAAGGGAAAGCTGGGTTTGAGTTTGGGGGTAATTGCCCTAAACGTTTTTGAATTTG